TTTTCATGGGGTAAAATTATTAAATAAGCTTCCTTTGTGATTTGCTTTGGATTTATGTTGTGTTTTTATGGATCAGCATTCTATAGATAAGAGGAAAAAGAAAGTTATATTTTTTTAACGTATCTATGTCCTACGTGATCTGTTTGCTGGCTAGTATATAATATATGTATAATATAGAAAATAATTATTAAATATTACTAATCATAAGTTGTCAGTAGGCCTAGCTGTAAGAAAGTAAACTTATGAACAATTAAACAAATTATAATATATTATTTTTTATCATCATCATCAACTTTCTAAATAAGCATCTATAAGTCAGTACTACAATTTTAATACTAATAGTATGTCATAATATAGTAACTGTTATACTATCTAAGACAATAAAAATGCACCTCAAAATCATAGTGCAGAAATATGTGGCAGACATTTAAACAAATGTCAATCTGGGTGCGAGAAGTAGGGGGGGGGGGGGAACAACAGGTAAAAAAGTCTCAAACAGAAAAAGTCCTTCATGCCCAATGATAGGTTATGGCTTAATAATAATAAAGGCTATAATGGCTAAAGATTCAAAAAATTATTAAATAACTACTTCATATTTATTTATGTGTATATTATAAAATATTAAACATTTAAACAACTGTCAGTGTCCCATCTTCAAAGCAAATACCCTACCAAATGGTCCATGTCTAAACATGCTAAAACGTGTTTTTTCAGCTACATAAAATTATGAAAACTGATGTCAAAAAAAAGGTAAATGGTTAATAGTAGAAGTAAAACACATAATTTTTAAAAATGTTTTCATAAATAGTAAGATTAATCAATCTGAGATAAACAGTTTGTTTAGGCCACGCAGCAGCCATTTTGAAAAATTTCAAATTTATCTCTCAAGACATGAACGGGAACAAATTAAAACTTTTAACTTCATCCTGTATAGATTTCAACAAAACTGCCCGACTTTGTGTAGATATGGACACAGAATAAAAAAAAATATCATTTTAGAGTATTTAAGTTTACCTAAAACAGGATATATTAAAGAAATTTACTTCCCGCATAGCAAATAGTGAAATTTATTTGGCTGAACAAAGATCTTTATGTAAGTTAGGTGTCATTTGGTAGAGTGACCTCTTATGAATGACTTTAAGCGCATGTATTCGATTCTGAACAGCCAGTATTGAGCGGCGGATTTTTATAGTAACTAATACGCTAATGAGCCATTTTTTGTGTGGACCGCGGACTCGATCTTATAACTAAGCGATCTCCATTTCCAGTTATTTTAGCGTCCTCTGGTTACTCAGCATAGCTAACTATGAAATGGCTACACATTACCGCCTGAACTACTGACAGTTTACATGATGATATTCTTTAACTCGTTGATTAATTAACATTTAAAATATACAATTTCTTGTGATATTTATCATTTAAATTTTATGTCTGTTGGGTTGCTCGACGAGGAAAGCTGGCTGCAGTCATAATAGTAAAATATGTACATGCACCATTTTCTTTAGAAATATTGCCGAATCATGCCCCAATCTCTTCCACAAAATGACTCGTACCTTTGTCTGAAAGCCATGAAAACAGTATTTTCAAGCCACCTGCCACAAAAATAGAAACATGGTGTGTTAATGATTGTGAAACATGCTCACTAACCCAAAAGAGCAGATAATACAGGTACTAGCCTTGTGATACAACAAAATAGAGAGGGGGGGGGGTGCAGCCTTGTGCTATAGAGAGAGGGGGGGGGGGTCTGCACAAACTGGCATATTGACACTTTGTGATGGAAGAATCAAGCAGTTGAATTATGTTTAACCAGATAATTAGCTCAGAGATGCCTGTGACAGTTCTTTCAAATTGTGTCTTCTCTCGTCCACACAGTTCATGCTTCGGGCAGAAGTTCTGAGACTATCGGGAAATGTTTCGGCTGACCTACAGAGTAGCAGATGTGGACCAGAGGAAGCATCTTCAGCAGTGGATCAGGACTGACTTTGAAATGAACAAGCATCATACAGATGTGGTAGTGGACATAAACTATTTGGCAAAGTTTTAGAACAGTGATTGTATTCTAGCAGCTGAGGATGCAGAAATGAACCAGCACATGTGGTCTGGGACCAGGGCTGAAACAGTTCAACACCCTCCTGCATCTCTCCATGCTCAACATAGGAAATTGTTTTTTACCAGGGGTCTGGCTAGCTTAGATGGGATTTTTTTTAAAGTCTGAATCCATCTGCCTAAGAAGTGAGGAACAAACAGTCTGCACACTGTAAGTCACATCTGAAAAACGGATATGCATGCAGTGCTTAAGTTCTGGAACAAAACTAGTCCAGGTTTGGCAAACAACCAAGATTTTGTGCTAGAGGTCACAGACGGTGAATGCAGAAAAAGAAAACATTTATTTCTGCTCTCGAACAAATACACATTGTCTTACGTTCTCCATTCTTCTCAGCTGTTCTCTTGCATACGACCGCACACATCTAGGTCCAAACTTCAGCTGCATTCCTACCCTCTCTGGGTTCACATCTTCCGTTCCAGTCTCAGACTTTCCTCATATCCCTCATTAACTCACCACGGGATAGTTGAGACCTGCTTATCTTGTTTTCCTTTTATTTCACTGGTCTTCTGACCTTGTTCCCCCAATGGGGAACTCTCTGTGATTTCCCAAGAATTTCACATTACAGGAACTAGTGGGTCATTGCTACTTGTGATGCTGGAGAGACAACTCACCGGCAAAGCTAGGCTCACTTTCTCTTCTAGAATACCAGGCAATCACAGACACTTATCATGCTCCACTGGGCTGCTGGAGGAGACAACCCTTCGACTTGTTTGTATCAGTGACATCATCATCATGTGTACACTTACAAGCTTCAGCTTGTGTGTCATCTCATTATGTTTGGAGTACTGCTGGAGACTTTAAATGGTCTCCCCGGGAAAGTAACGGCAGGAGACTCAATACTGACCTCTCACTGACCACATATATAGATCCATCACCATTATCTCCCTGTGTCTGTTTGTAACTATTTCATTGCCATGCAACTCCAGAATCGACCATTTCTAAGTAGGGCACAGAACATTTTCTGAGAGCCATTATGTCAAGGCTGGCCTTGACCTTTGTAGTTAAGGGCAATGGGTTAGTGACCACATCAGTTAGTGTCCATTGTGATACTACCACTTCACCCATCACAGTTACAGTGTCCATTGTGATACTACCACTTCACCCATCAAAGTTACAGTGTCCATTGTGATACTACCACTTCACCCATCAAAGTTACAGTGTCCATTGTGATACTACCACTTCACCCATCAAAGTTACTGTGTCCATTGTGATACTACCACTTCACCCATGTTACAGTGTCCATTGTATACTACCACTATATATCAAATATATATTGTCCATTGTGATATATATATATAGTGACAGTGTCCATATGTGATATATATATGTGTATGTATGTGTATATGCATACATTGTGTGTCAGCTCTATATAGTGCATATATTGACAGGCCATATATATATGGTATATATTATGCAACGTTTGCGGGATATATGTGTATATATGCTATGCAAGCTTCTCGGAGTAGTTAGAAAGTGAGCTCTCTATAGTGCATTGTTTACTGTGCTGTAACACCCAGGCCAAAGTAATGGTGTCAGTTAATGAGTTACGTCTGTAACATCACACATGACCAGTGCTGTGTTCACAGCTTCTCTGTAAGTAGTAGAAGTAACACTCACATTAGTTGTGTAACACTCCACATGACATCAAATCATGTTGGTCATACTGTGCTGTAACACTCACACACACAGGCTGTAACAGTGCTGTAACACTCACACAGGACCAGTGCTGTAACACTCACACAGGACCAGTGCTGTAACACTCAGACACAACCAGTGCTGTAACACTCACACAGGACCAGTGCTGTAACACTCACACAGGACCAGTGCTGTAACACTCACACAGGACCAGTGCTGTAACACTCAGACACAACCAGTGCTGTAACACTCAGACACAACCAGTGCTGTAACACTCACACAGGACCAGTGCTGTAACACTCACACAGGACCAGTGCTGTAACACTCAGACACAACCAGTGCTGTAACACTCACACATGACCAATGCTGTAACACACATGACCAGTGCTGTAACACTTACACACGGCCAGTGCTGTAACACTCAAACACGACCAGTGCTGTAACACTCACACACGACCATGTTTTTGTTGCAAATGAATACAGCTTGTATAACAATAACTTTAATTCAATTTGTGTTTATCCAGGAAGTAATCCGTATGATGCTTAGCAAGGGAAAGCTGTCTCTGCATGAACTTAAGCAGACTGTCATGATGGTGCAGTGATTGCCCCTGGACCAGCCAGTGAGTAGCAACATTCTACACCAGTTCACATCAAAGAATACATCTGGGTGTTCACATCATTGAGCAGTGGCAGGATACAGGCACCTTCTTCAGTACCAGACTGCCAACATCAGCAGGGTAGGAATTATAATAGCTGTAACATCGGACAGACAACTGTGACTGAGGGGAAATAACTCTTCATAGCAACTAACTATAGCTGAAGCTAAGGCAAGGGGAGCTGTAGATAGCAACTAACTATAGCTGAAGCTAAGGCAAGGGGAGCTGTAGATAGCAACTAGTTTAGTTGTGTGACAATTTGATTGCTGTGATTTACTGATCATTCATGGCATCGAGACAGACACAGTTAAAGCGCTGCCTTCCCGCTTGGATGGAGGAAGTTCATAAACAAACTAGGAGTATGAGTCATTCAGGTTTTGAATCTCAGGAGTCAGTTGTAGACATGACTCAAAAGTTTAGGGCAGGTGAGAAAGGGCTCCAGTTTAATAATTCCGATGAACTGAAAGTTGTGGATCAAAATACTGCAAGTTATCCTGATAAAGATGTGGAACAGATAACACCAGTAGGATCATGTGCCATCACAGGAAGAAACAGAAAGCTGTGGATCAAGTGTCAGCGCTAACCACATCATTGAGCAGTCCATGCAGCTGCTGACATTCCCTGGCACAGTCGTCTACTCCTGCCATTTTGCTGACTGTGCTGGTATCTGTGATGACATTTTAACCTCCTTGAGCAGCCTTGACCCAGTTGTGGGTTTTGATATGGAGTGGCCTGTGACCTTCGTCAAGGGTAAGACACCGAAGACTGCTTTGATCCAGTTGTGCTTGTCTGAGGCTGTGTGTTATTTATTCCACGTGTCCGCTATGACCTCATTTCCAACAGCCCTGAGGAAGCTGCTCTGTGATGCCCGTGTGGTCCTGGTAGGTTTAAATGTTGAAGCAGACCTGGGACTTTGATGTCCGGGTGAAGCCTCTCATTGACAGAGGTGTGTTCATTGATGAGGGTAATTTGTCTCCGTGCTAAATCCATATCTCATATCGTAAAATGGAAGTAGGGGTGGGGGATTTATAGAAGGGTCTATTAATGCATATGAAAAACATGTCGCACAATAGTCTGTTAAGAGAGGTTTGAAAGAGGAAAACCATACAGCCCGTATATAGAAGGGATGTCCTACCCCGGGTCAGTAAATACTGAATGTGTTCTGCTAGATGATTTGCAGAGCATTTGTGTCCGTCAAAGACAACATTACCTCTGTTAAACCATATTAATACACAATATTCTGCTAGTGCTGATAAAACTGATTTCCTTTTCTTTTGTCATTTTTTTGAATTGTGTTTAGAAAAATAGCTCTATAAGTGTTAAACTGTATTTGTGTATTTACTTATGGTGATTTTCAAATTTTTAAGTTTCATTTGTACTGCTGGGCATGTGTAAAAGATGTGCTCTTCTGTTTCCGGTTCATTTGCTGTACATAGTCTACATTTTATTTTGTGTTTTCTGCTGCTCTTTTTGTGTGTGGGAGTAATGCAATCTATAAGTAATTTCTGTCCCTACGGCATTATGTACATTTCTAAAGGATGCATAGTTTAGTCCTAGGGAATGTAAGCCCTCTTTTTTATTCTAGTGTGTTTGGGAAGGTGTTTGTTGGGTTATTATTTTGTATAAATGTGTTTTGTTTGTCTGTTGTTTTTGTTGCTCATCCTCTCTAAGATGTTGGAGACTCATTTTGTAAAATGGGAAAAGAGGTCCTAAAAATGTGGTGAGGTGTTATCAAACTTCTTTAGATGTGTTAGTTTTATATAGTACACTGCTAATGGGTGGGTTTCTAGATTCTTAATTATTTGCCCTATATATTTGATTCTAAGGGATTTAATTTTAGTTACTTTATAATATGTACACCTACCCCTCCTTGTGATTTACTCTGAATCAATGTTTTTTGCTGAAATGTGTATATTGTCCTACCGAAAAGACAGGTTTTTACAATTTTATTTATCTCTAATTACTTTTGTTGGAAGTTCTATTACTGTGCTATATCTCTCTCTCTCTCTCTCTCCTCTCTCTCTCTCTCATCTCTCTCTCTCTCATCTCTCTCTCTCTCTCTCTCTCTCTCTCTCTCTCTCTCTCTCTCTCTCTCTCTCTCTCTCTCTCTCTCTCTCTATAGATATATATATATATATATATATATATATATATATATATATATATATATATATATCTATATATATAAACAGGATTCTTTCATGCAGTCATCTCTTGATGTTTTTTGGCAGCTTTCCTACAAGTTTAGGTGGAATCGTAATGGGGCCTAGTGCCTGTACAGATCCTGAATGCTGGTATGCCCCCTGGGCCAATCAGGACTGACATCAGGTTGTCATAGTTAGCTTGTTTGTATGATTCAGGACCCCTCAGGGTCACCACGAAGGTCTCCGGCTTGTGCAGGTCGATGTGTGTGTACCTCGACGCTGCAATCTGGATTACCGGGATGAACGCCATTTAAATGATTGAAGTAGTAAAAGGCAATACTCACAACTCTGAAATTTCAGCAATTGCACAAGTCCTCTTTGAAGTAAGTCTGGAAGGGAAGAAGGCAGTATCATCAGCATATGCGATTAACTTCCTTTCTCCCGCCCCAGGTACTTTAGTGCCTTTGATGCTGGTGCCTTGTCTTTTTTTCTCTAATAGGGGTTCTAGGGCCAGGACATACAGAAGTGAGGAGAGAGGGCATCCCTGTCTCACAGATCTTGCAATCTTGAATCTCTTCGTGAGCTCATGATTCACTAGCACCTTACTTTCAGGATTCCGATACAAGATCCTAATCCACTTCACAAATCCCGGTCCCAGACGGCACTTCTCTAATACTCTTAAAAAGATAGTTATGGGAGATTCTATCAAAGGCTTTTTCTTGGTCTAATGACAGTATTGATGTGGCAATATTCCGTTGGGCATATTTTATAAAATCTCTAAAGAAATGGGTATAGTTTTGGATATTCCTATTTATTACGCTGCATTGTTGGTCGGGGCGTATTAAAATTGGCACAACTGATTTTAATCTATTCGATAGGTATCTCGCTAAAATTTTATAATCTGTATTTAGGAGGGAGATGGGTCTGTAATTTTTGAGTATTGTTTTGTCTGTATTATCTTTGGGTATTAATGTTATGTAGGATGTGTTGAAGTCTTGGGGTAACTGTTGTCTGTGGAAAGCGTGTTGATAGACTTTGAGAAGGAGAGGTCCTAAGATAGGAAAGAAGTGCTGATAAAATTCAATTGTAAGGCTGTCAGGACCTGGTGTACGATTTTTATTAATCTGTTTTAGTGTTTGTGTTATCTCATTTAGTGTTATGTCCCTATCCATTTGTTCTATATCTGCGTCTGTGATTTCTTTGTGTAATTTAGGAATGTATCTTGTATTTTAGTGTCTATTTGTTCTTCTTTAAAAAGGTGTTTGTAATAGTCTCCAAAGGCTTTGGTTATCTTGTTTGGGTCTGTTTGTGTCTGTCCTCTAATGTCTATTATTTTATTTATCTGTTTACTTTTTTGTATGTTACATTCTAATTTTATATCTTGTGCATTTGGTGTATTTTTAGACTGTAATTTACTTCTTAGTTGCGCCCCTGAATGCTTATACTGGTAAATTATCTCTAACTGTGTCTCTAATAATTCCGTGCGGGGCGACTCCTTTATCATAATCTTTAGATAATTGAATTGCTTCTTTTAGTATTTTTTCCTGTCGGAGTCTGTTTCTGTGTGTTATGTAAGCGAGTCTTTGTGTTCTACTTCTTACTGATTCTTTGAACAGGTTCCAAAAGATGTCTATATTTGTTGTGGGTGTGTTATTTGTGTAATCTAGAATGTGTTCTGTCATGTATTCTAAAAAATTTGCATCATCTAAAAGTGTATTATTGAATATCCAATGTTGGGATTTCTGTTTTTTGGATGGTGTTTTAGTTTCTATATCTATGTGTGCGAAGATCCCTTTATGGTCTGTATAATTTAATGTTTCATCTAGGTGACTTACTTCTACAATATGGTGTGTGTTGGGAACATAGATCCTATCTAGTCTAGCCTCACTGTCCCATGCTGCATTCGTGTGTGTTGTGTCTGTACTGTTTGGAAATTTGGTTCTGAAGGAGTCTTGTAAATTATTTATTGTTATTATGTTGTTTAGTATGTCTAATTGGTTTGGTAAGTGTTTAACAGTTCGTTTTAACTGTGTCCTGACGTCTCTCCCCTTAACATCCAGGCTAGTCAGGACACAGTTAAAATCCCCTGCCAGTATTAAGTTTGTGTTATGGTAATTTTGTGTAATTGTGTCGTTTAATTTTTCATAAAATTTTGGCTGGCATTCGTATGAGGGAGGTGCGTGTTTATTAATAACTATAGTGTAGGCTAGGCTAGTGTTGGTGATATTTGAGATGCACAGGCTTCCTGTGTCATCTGTATGTGTATCTGATTTTCCATCTGTCCGATGTCTGGAGAATGGCTGTTCCTGATCCTATGTGTTGTTTGGAGAGATTAAAGACAGAGTGTGAAAGACCTAACTGCGACTTGATTCTGTTTGCCAACCAATTTGAATTAATGTTCGTTTCTTGTAGTAATATAAAGTCTGGTGTGTATTTGTGACTTATGTGTTTAAATTTGGTTCTTAGTCCTCTTATATTAATACTGACAATCTTCAAACTACCTTCCATTTTTCAAGATAAATAAAGGAAAAAACAGTTGAAAGCTGGAATATGTTACAACGAAAACAAACAAACAACGTAATTTGAAAAATAGTCCGGCAGTAGGAAAAAATTGTCACTTTAGCATTTATAGGTTCTTTAATTTAAAAGTGTCTTTGGAATCCTCTGTTAGTTTTTGTCTTCAGCTTTCGGAGAAGGGAGCTTCTCCGGGGATGAGGACGATGATGATGGCGAGGAAGTGATGGTGTCGGAAAAAGAGTCTTCCAGTACTGAGTGTTCCGTGTGGATCTCAGAGTCGGTCTCATCTTCTTCGCTGCTTACAGTTGGCGATGTCTGGTTAGAGTGTTTTTTGGGCTCTTCTCGTCATCCTGGGTGACGAAGTTGGTTTTGTCCCTTGCGTCATCCTCTTCTGCGGGCTCTTTCTGGGTCGTTGTCGTAGGTTTTTTTTTCCGTCAGGTGCAGATGTCTGATTGGTTGAGTTATCGGCAGTTTGGCTCTTGTCTTCATATTGGGTGACAAAGTTGGCGTTTTTCTCTTTGTGTCATCCCTGTCTCCGGACAGTTTGCTCGGCTCATCACTGTCGGTTTCAGGGTCGAGGTCAACCGAATCGGTTTTCCCTCGTTTGGTTGGCTGGCAGATTACTGGTGACGTTTGGGTGAGGTTGTCATCCTCTTGTTTCTCGGGGTTGTCGCAGCGTCTCTTCTTGGATTTCTGTTTCTGTTTCAACCCGGATTTTCCTGGCTATGTTGTCTGGTTTGTTTGGGTTGGCAGAAGCTGCGGAAAGTCCTCCGTCAGAGGGTGAAAGACGTTCTCAGATAGGATACTGGTTGAGGCTGTTGGAGACTGTCTCCCTGCATATCCGCCACTCCCACGTCTATTCCTCCCACAGGCGTGTAGAAACCCTCCGCATCACATTGGGGGTGTCTGCCTTTTGGATTGGGGTGCAACCTGGGTTGTTGCCCTGCCAAAATTTAGGAAAGTTGCAGTGTTGTCTTGGGGAGCGTTTCCCCCATGCTGGCCCTGGACCTCATCTCAGCCCTTTCTCAGGACAACTGCCCACCCAGTGCCCGTCTTTCCTACACACAGGGCATGGCGTGGGTCTGCCAGGTATGACGATGTGGATTTTATAAGGTTGTATCCCAGGTGTCTCGATTTGGGCGTAGTGCGGGATGTCTTTAGTGGTAGGGATACACCGTACCCTCCATCTTTTCCCTCTACCTTCTGCTATGTCTTTAGTGGTAGGGATACACCGTACCCTCCATCTTTTCCCTTCT